ATGGGGTATATCCCATAGATTATGATAATGATATCTCACTCATCATAATCTATGGGATATACCCCATGTTTAACAATGTATGGGAGAAAATGACTCATAGTCAATATCCGTGGGATTTATCCCATTTGAGCAAATTTGTGGGAGAAAAAATCCCAATGGGAGAAAATATCCCATCTGACACTTTTTCTCCCATGGGAGAAAGGTGGGATAGTTGTAATTAGGACTAAAAATCCCACCATTCTCCCATGGGATTCTGACTTTTAGGACTTCATATCTTTAAAAAAAGAGATGTTTGTGAGTTCAAAATGAGATTTTGTGATACTGCTAAGAAATCCCACCAAGTGCTATAATTTATTTTTGGACATCACAATTAGAAATGGTAGTAAAAAGTCTGGACAATGTCGTGTCCGGAGTTAAATGTCGCACTGTTCTAACCCCTGGGATAGGGTGGGGCCATTATGGGCGATCAAAATTATATGAGTATAAATAGAACAAATCTTTAAAAATCTTTTTCTCAAGAACAGCAAAGTCATTAACAGTCACATTTATATGGAAACATTTATAGACTTGTTACGTAGGCTCAGGTTTGTTCAAATCTCTGGTTATTGTGGAGGGGCCACTACGGGTGATCGAAGTTATACACGGGTAAAATAGGGAAAAAAATCTTTAAAACTCTTCTTTTTAAGAACAGCGAAGTAATGATTATTGATTAGTCATATTTATATGCAAGCGTCCTCAGATAATGTCCAAATCATGACCCCCTGGGGTAGGTGGGGCCACTTTTGTCTTTCGGCGATCAAAATTTTACATTAAATTACCTAGGAAAAATCTTTAAAATTCTTCTTTTCAAGAACAACAATGTTATGGTTAATCATATTTATATGGAAGCATCCTCAGGTAGTGTAGATTCAATTTTGTTCAAATCATGACACCGGAGAGTTGGGTGGGGCCGCCATGGACGACAAGAGTTTTCCTCAGGAGTACATGTACATTATTTTCCTCAAGAACAGCAAAGCCATGATAAGTTATATTTATACCGAAACATCTTCAGGTAGTGTAGATTCTAATTTGATCAAATCATGACCCCAGGGATAGGATGAGAATACAAAGGCTAATCCAAGTTTTAAATAAGAGTAAATAGGAAAAATCTTAAAGTCTTCTTCTTCTTCAGAACAGCAAAGCCATAATTAGTCATATATATGGAAGCATCTTCAGATTCAAGCTTGTTCAAGTCATGACACCTGAAGAGGAAAGAGTGGGGCTAAGGATAGAGCAGGACCATAATATATTATCTTAATTTTATATAGGAATCTATTTGGAAATTCTGCTGATAAAAAAGGAGGGTCAAAGTTACTCAGGTGAGCGTTGTAGCCCATGGGGCTCTTGTTCACTTTCCCTTTGGTTGTCTTAAGCTACAGAACAAATAAACTGCTAAAATTAGTGCGTAATGCAATAAAAAAAAGAGTACCTTTAAAAAATTAGATTTGTTATGTTTGTAAATAATATTTGTAATAATTTTATTCGTTAAATTATTTCAAATTATTCATCGATCTTCCATATGAAAATGCACTCATAATGTAATTGTCTGTTTGAATGTCTATGTTCTAGTTTCTTTTGTGTATTACAAATCATTGCACCCGATTCGGTTTATAGAGCAATGACGTAGCCTTGTTGACATTCTGAGTTACATGGAGGTACAAATATAAAATATGAAAACATAAGTCAATTTTATTTTTCAATTTGTTTTGAAGATTTATTTTTTATGGACCTGGCAACTGGAAACTATAATCTTCATGTACTAAGGACTGATCTCAGGTCTTTAAGTAGTCACTCTGGATACTCAGTATGTCGTCAAACAACCCTCGGTAGAATGAATTTTCCGTTGGGCCTACACGTATGGTAAGTTAATATATGATTATGTTATAGCATATCATTATTTGTATACTCTTTTTTCGTAAGGATTATGGTAGACTTTTCTTTTGGAAAATCAAATAATATTCGCTGAAAATTACATTTTCCCTTTTTTGGCAACCATTATGATATTTCTAAATTTGCCAAATTCAGATTAAACAAGTATGTTTCAAGTGGTGAATTACAGAAATGAGTCCTAGACAAAAGAAGATTTGTTTTAAAAATTGATTTTATTCAATCATGTTCATTTTTGTTTCGATTGATGGTCGTGTCGTCAACCGTTAGGAAACCATCTTCTCCAGGACTGCTATTCCCTAATCGCAATCCTCGGGTTTCTTCTTTCTCAGCCATGACTTTCTCTGCCTCGGTTTTCTCTGTCTTTTCCTCAGTTTGCCTCTCCGGGCTTTCGGTTTTCTTCCTCCTTTGTTGTTTTTTCTATTCCGTTGTCTTCTATTTTTTTCTTTTTCGGAAAAGGCGTTTCAACTTCTTGAAAGTTTTCTTGATCTTTTTCTTAATTTTTTTAATGAATTTCTTTAGACTTCGTTTCTTTTCTGCCCCCTCTCCTTCTATCGGTAGTAAACAATAATATTAATTAATATAGCTCTCAATAGTGTTATTTAAATATAACATAAACAACATCTAACCGTCATAAAATATTGAATTTTCCTAACAACAGGATCATATGATATTAATACAAAAGTATAAGACATATTTTTACAAAATTGCTTAAAATGTTACACTTACGGAGGTTGGATCCTGTTATCAAAAGTATTGAGAAATTTTTATCAAGTATACTTTTAGAATCTACACACATAGCTTTATTAAAATCAAAAAAGGGGGTCAGTGCGCTTCTTTTGGCACTAAGGAGCATTTAATACGACCATTTTGCACTGTAATTACGTCTTTCACACAAATTAATTTTTAAAAAGTTTTTCCTCTAATATTTTTTATCCAAATAAATTATGGGAACAAACACAGTCTTTTGTCATCTTAAATAGTCACAATAAAATTTGTGACAACCAAAAAAATTTCAAATTACTTTGCATAGTCAAGTATTTGACCTTTCTGCACTCAAAAAATGTCATTTTCCTGGCATTAAAAAATTATCAAGTAATAAATCATTTAAAAGTAAAATGTTTAAAATTACATATTCAGAAAAGAAAATTAAAAGTGGGGGTCTGTGATATTAATTTTTTGATATTACTAAAATAGTGTGAATTTGAAGCTTAAATTGGGCCATTTTTTTCCAGGACTTTTACAATATATTTGCTATATTTGTCAAATACCGTGGTATTTGACAAATATAGCAAATATATTGTATGATGATAGAATTCGTGACAGTTAATTTGATATATAGGTTAGGAGCAGCAAAACATTTCACTGCACAAAATAACTCTGTGTGAAAGCTGCATTTAAAAAAAGGAATCCAAACTTAACAATTTTGTAAATACTTTGAAACAGAAAATTGATCATTTTCTTCTAAAATAACATTCCGCCACAAAATATAGTTCCTCACTTAATGCTTTCGGTATGGATTTTAATCATGGGGTTTTAACTGAATATAGTTTGACTAGCATTTTAGAATCCAAATTTATTGTAAGAACAAAAACATTATGCAGAATTATTTGAATAGAGGTCAAGATAAAAATCTGCTCCAAAAGCTCAAGAACGAACAACTTTAAAGACATAAATAATTAAATTCTTATTTGCCAGTATTGAAAATAATGTCGAATTTTCATAAGTAAACGTATTTAAACACATTTCTTTATACTATCATGAATGATATTTATCACAAAAGCAAGATGATGTCATATTGACCCACCTGTGACACAGAATTCAGTAACTCTGTCTTCCAACACGCTGTAAACGCAATCACAGTCTCCGCCCCCGCAGCTCTTACATTCAAAAGCATCCCTTACTGAAATACAATACATGTATATGAATAAATACGAGGGTTGTACATAGAGTTAATAGACAAATGCTATAATTTGTGTAATAATGACCACACTGTAAAACAAGTAGGATAATATTTTAATATAGACCATGATTTGGTAAACGTATAAAAAGTAAAACAATAAACACTACTTTACAAACACTCTAGGTGTAAATACTTGGTATATGCAAACAGCACGGTCCAGTCTGACGAAAGGCTTATTTCATCATGACGTCAAAAATTAATATGGATTTTGAATTTTTATTACATATTCGTGGACACACCCTATTTTTCTTTATTATGCCACAATGCAATGTAAAGTGTGGTCAATAATATTTATATATAGACCATAACTGATTTTTTTTAAATTCAAAACAATACAATAATTTACGAACGTCATCAGTATTTATAAATACTTCGTATGCACAGGCTGCACAGCGTAGTCCGATGTTGCGCTAAACTTATAACAACGCCATGAATAGTGATATCCTACTTTCCTCAAATGGCGGCGATTTTCAAATTCTTGTAATGTCTGCTAAATTGCACACGACGACAACCCGCTTTATTTGCCACACGTTTAATTTTTATCAAGCTTTGTTTTATGAAGAAAATAATCATTTTAATCCGGAAACTTTATTTCAAAGTTTACGTCATTTTAACCCTGAGGGCAGTACACACTATCTGCAATCTTTAAAGACCGCAATCCTCACAAAAATATTAAGTTCAAATAATCTAAACAAAACCAAACTATTCTGACATGGTTTTTTATTACAAACATTTTGTTACACAATAAGTATTTGTACAGTTTGACAAAAACGTCATTGTTCACAAATTTTAGGACAAACTTCGTATATGAAATTCAACAATGAATAGATGGATAAATAAATAAATAAATTCAATTAGTAAGTTCATTGTAATTGAATATACAGAATTATAAGACATTCACCTTGGGGGAAATACGAATTTTTGAAATGGGAAAACAGTTTGTAGCACGTACGTATTCTCAAAAGCAAACAGGAGTTACTAGAATTGAACACATAAATAAATGTGTGTATTTCCTTTGACAAAAAGGTTAAACGCCAGCTCAAATATTCTTATATCAATAACAGGCTGTAGAATTATCTTCCAATGAATCAATCAATCAAAGAAAACTTACCTGAACAAACCTCATCTTCACACTTGTTCTTGATCAGTTTGCACTCACTATCCGATCTCATGCACGTGCAGTTCTTAAGAGGGTCTTGATTCCGTTCAATTTTCTGAAAATTAATTTGGTTATATCTTTATTTCACGTCCGTTTCGTTTCTTTAAAAATAATCTTACATTTGGGGTTAATCTAGATACCACATCTATCAAATTCTTTCGTGATAGTGGTTGGCGGTATATAATGAAAAAGGTGAAGATAACGAACAGTTATAGGTCTCCAAAAAACTACAAACAATACAAAAAAAATGAAAAGGGTCCCCTGTAAATTCCAATGATGGGATCAAGTACCTCGGAGGAGTGAGGATCAGGTGCCTAGGAGGAGTGAGCATCCCCTGTCTACCGGTCATATCCGCCGTGATCCCTAGGTATTGATCAGGTGGGCGGAATATTCCGTAGTCAATTTTATTATACAAGAAAAAGGCCAAAAAAAAATGATATGAAATATGTCAGTCAAAATACGACCCAAGTAATATTCTCATCATGACATGTATTATTAACTTCTAGTGATTTGGTACGAAATGATCAAGGAATGTTGCCTTAAGAAATTGAATACTTCTGACTTATCACTCTAAAACAATCTATAAGATAGTTATAGAATACATTAACCCACCTATATACAATGCATGAAAAATTATTAAATCTGTGAAATCTGTAATCTCAAAACATAAAGGACACACTGGAATAAGTCCACATGTTTTCAATACCCCAAAAGCCCTCACAACCAAGATGTCACAATTGCTACGCGATATTCCCTCTGTTAATGGGAATGACAATGTATAAGATCAGTTTTCAGGGGATAACAAGTCATATTTGGTCATTTCATTACAATTCATTCAGAGGTAATGTAAACTACAATTGTGATGTGGAAAGACAAAGAGGATGTATGCATTGACTTTCTACCACTAAAAGTATAGTATGCTCTACTTTAGCTTACCTCATCTTCGTGTGCTTTCGCCTGTACAATAAAAAGGCAGAATATCAAAATGAGTCGAAAGACTCGGCCGTCCATCTTCATGGAGGATCCAAGTCGTGATGATGCCAAGACTGTAAGTAAGAGTGAAATATATACACCTACAAAGGACACACACCCTCCAATCAAAAGTTTACAAATCAACAGTTTCTTAATCACATGCTTTCTCTTCGAAATTTTTATCATAATTTATATTCATTTGTTATTTATACGTGAAATGTTTTAACAATTTTTACTGGTGAATTTTACGTAACATAGATCTCTATCAATACGTTATTCAGGACATTCGTGTATGTTGAGAATTCATGAACCAGAGCGCTCACCTCTGTTGCAATGTTTCCACTAAAGATACCTGTAATTATTTTAATGTATATCTCCTTATTCTGACTCGCCAATAAAAAGTCCCTTTCCTCTGTGTAATGTTTTCCTATCTTTGTGATATTTTGAAATTTCTCTTACAATTCTAAAATTCAAGAATTTTTTCAAACGGGATATTGAGTAGACTAATTCTAGAAGACTGTTGCTTTATTTCTCATTTTGAAATTATTGCGGTTCCACACTGGCAGTATGGAGATTCTTAAAAAATTGAAGTAAATGGAGATTCTTGGACATTATCTTGACGCACACTGAAAATGTGTTTTCTGCTGGGATAATTCTCATTCTCAAGATATTTATAGCCACATTGTGGATCACTGTTACTTTATTTTAGTCGGAAGTAATAATATATACACTGAATATGAATATTGAAGGAAAACAAATAATGCTAACAAGAATATTAATTAAATTGAAGAAAGGGACAAGTTGAGGCCATAATCAATATCTGTTAGATTTTATTTATATAAGGCAGATTCTGCGGGGAAGTTCAATTTTATGACATAGCACCTTAAAAATGGCTTTTAGAAACACTTATTGCAGGCTAAGTGATTACCCATACCCTGAGAGAGAAAGTCCTATACTTGAACTAAAATCGCAATTCTTCTAGGAACAGATGGTGTATGTATTAATTGATTTGCATCTTTACTTTTCGTCTACTCTAAAAATGAGATTTTTATTCTTCTGGATATGATTCCCTTCATGCCCTGGTTGCGACAAATATTAGTCGATAACAAAAAGTAGGTAGCATCTGTTCCTTCGCCAAGCGCTCGTCACATTGAAGTGAAAGTTACGGGTCTCTTTCGGATTACCCGGTAGACCTTTACTTAAAAGCGAGGTCCCGTGGCACGATAGAGTTTCCTCACGCTCAACGGCCCTTTGTGCCGATTAAGGTCTAAATTTGAAGCCCTTCAACTAGGCTTCCTGATATCATAGACAACTGGTTCTTTAATGAAATTTTCATATCTTGTGATTGATCATCAACAAAATTACTTTGTTAAAAATCTCATATGAGTGAATTCATCTTACAAGGGACGTAAAACTAATCCTGCAATTGGCCTTGAATAGTGCTTTACGTCATGGGGCAGAGGTTTAAACAAAATACACAGTGATGCATGTTTCCAGTCTCACAATCACGAGTGACTACCTATTATACATTTACATAAATATCATGTTTTTAAAGCACTTCTTACTAATCTCACTTCATATTTATTTTTCTCATATTTTTAATATTGTTTATGTACTACAACATTTTTATTTTTATTGATTTATACACAAGATTCTAACATTTTTGGGGGTTTTCACATAGTGAATCTTTGTAATAAATGACTTTTATTCAAACTCCAGTAATTTGACAGTGCCTAAACTAATTGCAGATTGTACTACTTTCCGCTCTCTAGGATCAACAACATAAAGCCTGACAACAAAGCCTAGTCTCGTCCTACATCAAACTTTTTTGGAAATATTTGGGGGATCAAAAATCGATTCGAGAGCTCGTTGTTATGCTTATTTTTATAAGCTTCGGCGTTTGTACGAATTACCAAGACCTCTTATATAATTAACTCACCCCCTCCCAAAAAAGAGAATAAAAACCCGAACAAGACAGGGTTTACCTAAGTGACTTTACATTTTTTACATTAAACAAACAAAATATAAGTTGTGAATTTTTATTCTGCAAAATATCATTAACTCTAAATCTGATACAAAATATGTAAATTTAGTCATGCGACTATATACATGTCCTGTAGGTAAGAAGATTGCATTAAGATTATAGATAAATTGCTTTATGTACCTGGATGAAAATGATACTTTTATGAGGGTTTCAGCATTTTAATATTTATTTCAAATACTGAATACTGAACATATTTCAATATCAGATGCAGGTTTATTTTTGAACAAGGTTTTAAAACGAAATGGTGCTAGGTGCAATGTTGATCAAAGGTTAATGAATGATGTCATACTGATATAATGTTAAGAACCTCATTGATTACGAGAACTTAAAATAATCCGTCAGTTCTAAAATGTTCAGACGAGTATGATTTTGCCGTTTTCAGCTGATACACACAAATTGTGAGCTCCATGATTTTTTCTTCATTAAGTTTGCAAAGTGATACTTGCTTTATTTGTATTCAAGTTTTGACAATTACTAGACCGCTTATATCCAGCCTGGAAGACATATAGGATATTATAACAACAATAGAATTTACGAAATGCTGACTTTAAACAAGAGTGTTAAAATCCCTGAAACATCAACTTATCTGTCAGCATCCTGCCTCGGTTTAAAAATTGATCATACTCAGAGCATGTTCTTGAGTATCTAAAAAGTTGGGAGACAAACATCATATGCAGGTGAGAGTGGAACAATGGAGGTATTACTACATAAATAAGGAAAGTTGACGATGGAAAAGCTGAAGTCATCTCGTTTGTCATACAATTTAGTTGTTTGTTGGCCTTTATCGTCCATAGTCAGTAAAATATCCAGATATGAAACAATTGTGTCCGACTATATGGTGTCTTATTTGGAGTTCACTGTGATACATGGAGTTAACATATGAATAGAAGGAACTATTGTTAATTAATGAGACGTCGTAGATACATCTGAATGTCGAATTGAAGGCCATAGCAAGTGTTCTCTTCTCATGTAGAAGTTTTTGAATAAATTTTACTTCATTGGAATAAAAAAAAAAATAGGCCGGCTAATAAAGGAGCACAATAAGTGCCAATCCGAATTCCAAGTTTGTTGGAAGACATGATCTCCAAAGTTATGTCGATACGATATACCCCGGTAAGCTTGAGATAAAAGATACCACAGATTCTGACACATCTGTTTCATATTTGGATATTTTACTTGAAAAAGACGTTAATGGTAATCTAACAACCAAGCTTTATGATAAACGTGATGACTTTAACTTTTCAATTGTCAACTTCCCTTACTTATGCAGCAATATACCTTCATCACCTGCATACGGGGTATATATATCTCTCAGTTGATTCGATACGCAAGAGCATGCTCTACGTATGTACAATTTCTAAAACGAAGTAAATTATTGACAAACAAGTTGATGAGCTGTCTCGTTTAAAGTCATCATTTCGTAAGTTCTATGGTCGATACAATGACCTTGTCAGCAAATACAATTTATCATTTACCAGGTAGTCAAATGCTGACTGACGTTTTTCATACTAATTGTTAGGCCATTATTTACACACTGAATTGTCGACGGATTTTTCCGTTATTTCCCGATCATGACGAGGAGCACACGCCGGGTGTGACCAGTCGGCAGGGGATGCTCACTCCTCCACGGCACCTGATCCCACCTCTGATGTTTGGAGGTCCGTGTTTGCTCTGCTCCTATTTTGTCTTGTTTAATGGACTTTTGAGCTCGATTACTGTTCGTTATCTCCATATATTTCATTATACAGATGTTGTAAATCAGGAATTCAAGCATTCTTTAAATATCAACTTCAGAGTGCTTATGTGTAGAATCAGAGTGATTTTAACAAAGTCATTTTGTTGATGACCAATCACAATTTCCGACGCCCATTTTTATTGAAGAAGCAGTTGTCTATGATATCAGAATGCTGAGTTTTTGATTTATCGTGAGGAGTGGTTGTATAAAGATAAGAAAAGTCGTACGTTTTGATGTTACCAATGCTTAAAAAATTGTGAATTAAATTTTCCAAAAGTTCATTGAAGATTTCGAGAATCCACATTTGATTTACACCATATCTAGAATATGCTGTAGCACAGTACGTCTGAAGTTTCTCATTTACAGCAGTTAAATTTTTGTGTGGGGTAAAGATAGGGGCTTGGTAGAGCATTTGCTGAACCCGGCGATGTATCTTTGTAAGGATTTTTATGATGTTTAGGAATCCATTATAGGTAGTGTAGATCAAACTAACCTTCGTTAACTGGGAAGGTTAAAAATATTTAAGACTGATATGTGATTTTGAGAATTTCATCCTTAGAAAGTGAACTGTGAGTATCAGTTGGATTTTCCAATGTAGAAATAAAACCAAGTTCATCTAAATGAAAAATGAAGATAACGAACAGTATTCAATCTCGAAAGTCCAATGAAACGATACAAATTTGGAGCAGAGCAAACACGAACATCAAAATTCAGAGGTGGGATCAGATGCCATTGAGGAGTGAGCATCCCCTGCCGACCGGTCACACCCGCCGTGTACTCCTTGTCATGACTGGAAAAAAACCGGAAAAATCCGTAGACAGTTCAGTGTGTAAATAACGGCCTAACATTTAGTATGAAAAACGTCAGTCGGCTTTTGACTCAATGATTGGTTGTATGTGCTGACAAGGTCTTGTATCAACCATAAAACTTGTGAAATGATGACTTCAAACGAGACTGTTCATATCCTTGTTTCATCAACTTCTTTGTCAATAGCTTGCCTCGTTTTAGAAATCAACTGAGAGACATAAACCTCATATGCAGGTGATAAGGGTATATTTCAACATAAGTAAGGGAAGTTGTTGATTGAAAAGTTGAAGTCATCACGTTTATCAAAAAGCTTTGTTGTTAGGTTACCATTCATGTCTTTTTCTAGCAAAATATCTAAACATGAAACAATTGTGTCAGACTCTGTCGTATCTTTTGTTTCAAGCTCACTGGGATATATCGAGTTCGACATATGAATGGAAGTAACTATTGTTAATTGTAAAAGCTTTTATTTGGTGGATTATATCTTCCACCTTT